CCGGACCGGGGCACGAACCCGCGTCCCCCGCATCGGCAGGCGGACCCCCAACCACTGCGCCACCAGGGAAGCCCAAATCTCTAGTCTTAAGGCCTGATCACCAGTGCAAATTCTGTGATGAGGAATTTTATTTACTCATTATGTGTTTGTGACAGGAAATCAGAGTCGAGAGAAGTCATTTGTCTTGTGCAACTACATGTCTTGTGGACCTCGTGACAGATGGCGACACCGCGTTTAGTCTGGATTTCAGCTGGGGAGTGACTCGACTTCACTGCTGCTGGGAAAGCACCAAGACCCCTTATTTTTTGCTTTCTCCCTAGAAAGCTGTTTGAATGAAATGAACCTTGTGATTCTGACAGACACATTTATAAAGCATCCTGGATAGCAGCCAGGTTTCACACAGTGACGTACACCCACTGAACAGCTGCCGTTTAGCCTAGTGGATGCCTCAGCATGAGCAGAGTCTGGAGGGTCAGGCACGGAGGTCTCACTGGGGCCATCTCCGGTGCTGGTCCTGTGGGTGCCTGTTTTGACCTGCCCACTTGTGTTTTCTGCCACCTCTGTAAAGAGCTTGCGCTCCTGGAGAAGTAAACTAGAAGAGCAAACACGTGGCAGTGCCAGTGTCACAGCAGGGATGCTTCTTTGCTTAATTAAAGCGGAGAAAAACAACTGCTGCAGAATGGCTTTACGAACTGGCTTCAAGAAGGGGGTAAATATCCAGTTAAACACGGAATGCAGGAATGGAGCCGCTACCGGTCTCCACGCAGACCTCTGTTTGGTGAGTATCCCAGGGGAGGAGCTTTGCGGGCAGTTGTGGTACCAGCACGCGGTGTCCCAGAGCGAGAAATGAGGGGCTTACCAGCGGGCCAGGCTCACCTTCTTAATGAGGTCTTGTCCGTTAGTGCAGACGTCATTCACCCGGTCCTTGTGGACGGTGAAGTCTGTCTCGAAGGCTTCATGTTTCTTCAGTAAGCCCTGGAGGGGAGACAGCAAGGCGTGCCACTGAGGGCCTGGCCTGTGCGTGCGGTGGGCCAGGCCCCGGGGCCAGAGGAGCAGGACGGGAAGGTGCCCTCGCACGCACCCCAGTCCAGCTGGGGCTAAGGCAACAGACAGGTACAGGATAAACAGAAAATCATACAGCAGTAAAACGAGGACACCGCGAGCATAACCAGAGGTGGGCGGGCTTGGGAGGGCCTTTCGGAAGGGGTAAGGCTGCTGCCAGTCAACCAGCACAGGCC